ATTTCCACAAATACCCTTATAGCGATGGGTTATGCCAATGCTGAATCAGCCGTCAAGCAAAGGATTTGGGACATAGAACATCAAGAACATTTAGGTTCACTGGACAAAGATAGTGTCGTGAAAAACTACCTCTTTATACTTCACACCCATTTGAACAGTATAAAACCACTTAAATCTAGAAGAGCTTTTACCTTAGTCAGATTTAATGTTCTGTTTTCTAACCTCTTGAAAGGGAGATTTCAGGGCATATCCTATTCTGATCCTATATGTCCTTGTGATGGTGGTGAAGTAGAAACAGTGGGGCATGTTCTCTTATACTGCCCTTTTAAATGAGATTTCCATAAGGATCTTCTCTCCCCTATTGTTCAAAAATTTCCAGGGAGTTCTGACTAATTTTATATTCTTTTGCTGCTGTCTGACAAGGTTTCTTACATTACTAGTAAAGTGGCCAAATACTGCACAACTGCTATGGCTTGCTGCAGTTTCCTGACCACGTAAGGTCTCTGAGTGCCCTTACCTTTGTTAGAAATTTCTTGTTTAATTTTGAGTGGCATATCGACTATTATCTGTGTCTTCATTTCATATTATGTGATTGGTGTGATGTTTTAAAAGCTTTTACAATGGTGCCCCGCACAGCACCGATAATCCGTTCCGGAAAAATCGTCGCTATACGGATTCGTCGCTATGCGGAACAAAAAAGCCGATAGGAATACATTAAAACACGTTTAATGCGTTCCTATGGGCAAAAAACTCACCATTATGCGAAAATCCTCCATACGGCCGCAATATTTGCTGCCCGGTAAGCGAGGAATGGGCGCGAAAACACAGTGGGCGGCCATTTTTTTACCCGGTGGCCATTTTGGAAACGCCGATCAGCTGTTAGGAAAACATCGCTATGTGAAAATCGGTAAGCGAAACAGCTTACCGATCATCGCAAAGCGATGTTTTACCATTTAAAACATTGCAATGCGATCGCAAAAAACATTGCTATGCGGATTAGTCGTTAAACGGGGAGCCCGTTATACGGGGCACCACTGTATATCCTTCAATGCTGCTGGCTAATTTAGACCTTCGTTCTTAACTTTAAAGTCTTAAAAGAGCCTGACAGTGCATTGATGGTGACATGTCTTTTCCAATGTCTTTCGATTCTATCCGATATTATGTGATTTTATCTAAATAATATATTTTTATTTTCCTGGTCATTGACCATAATAAATAGTAAAGAAAAGAAAAAGAGTAAATACTAGATTCCAGGATTATAAAACCAAAGGGTTCTGCTGCAGATAGGACAGAAAGGAACGGAAACCCATAGACTTTACATCTGTAGTTGTCTTCATGTTTGATGTCTTTTATCAAGGAATGCAAGGAATGAAATGCTGGCCAGCTCAGCGGTTCAGGTATTTGGCTGTGGAGTCAGAGGTTGGGAATTTGATTTCTTCCCCCGCCTCCGTGCTTCCTTGACAGAGGCTGGACTTGATGATCCATAGGGTCCCTTCCAGCTCTGCAGTTCTAAGATCTACAATTCTAAGGCAAAGGAATGTCAAACATATCGGTACTGAGCAGGGACAGAGCCAGTGCTAAGGGGCAGAAGTGGCAGCATCTGTTAGAACCGTCCCTGAGACTATCACCAACATATGCAACATCATTACAGAGTAGATACACAGAGAAAGGCTGTATTACAACAGCTATGTGCCACAAGCTAGTGTTATTCTGCACTCCATTATAACTACCTCCAGACAGAGACATTCAGTACAAATAGAACAATTATGTTATACGTGTGTTATATGCGGGTGTTCAAAGTACCTGAGGGATTTTACAAGCTTCACAAACCTTACTGCGATTTAAAATAGTGTGATTTGGGTGTAATTTTGAAGCACAGAAAAGCTTCAGCCAAGCAAGAGCGCCCTTCCCCTTCTGCAGGGCTTGGTTGCCTACAGGTAGGTGGCTAGTGGGAGCCAGGAAGTATTGTGGCAGTAGCAACAGCTTGGCTGTCTTCCAGGGCCATATGCTCCCCAGCCACGGCCGTTCAGGTGCCCACCAGACAAGCAAGTCCTGTGGAGGAGGAAGAGCAGCCTCTTCCACATGTGGCAAAAATCAAGACTCAGCAGGCAGCCAGTGCTGTGAGGCTTCCCAGCTACATCAGCACTGGCCATCTAGTGTTGTTCTTATTTATTTATTTATCTAATTATATCCTGCCTATCTGGTCATTATGGTCTTAACGGGGCAGGGAAAGCCCAGGAATGGGGAGGGAAGGGCTTAGAGGACAGGCTACCCCTGTGTATAAATAATTGGTGTGCCTTTGTCCGAAGAGCTACTTAAAGCCAAGAACAGTGGTCATGATCCTATTTCACTGGCAATGAGAGGTTATTTGGGGCCCTTCCAGATCTATCCAAGTGCTGCAGGCACAGCCTTTTTCAGAGTCCCTACTTTTTTGGTGCAGCAATACAGTACTTCTTAAAGTTGCTAAGGTTCTCCTGGGCCTGACAGCTGACCTGATTTTTGGCACATGTCACCCAGATGCTGAGGTCAGACACATAGCTGCCCAACTGAGGGACTTCATCCATGAGCTGGTGCAAAGAAAGGGGGTCCTTCTAAGCACATGGAGGTTTTTTTAAAACATCTCCCATTTCCTGCTGCCAAGCTGTTTTTGACTTTCAGCAGCCCTGTCTCCAATAGGTCCTATCCACCCAAAGTCCTGCAACCCTTCGGAAAGGAAACTAGGCCAATCCCTCAAGTACTTACATTGAAGTCACACAGCAGAACTGCACACTCGAACAGGGCAACAATATTCTGCATGGCTGTTTCTGTACCCTTCTCAGAATGAAGCCAAATTCTAAGCACATGGAGGTTTTTTTTTAAAAAAAATATCCCATTTCCTGCTGCCAAGCTGTTTATGACTTTCAGCAGCCCTGTCTCCAATAGGTCCTATCCACCCAAAGTCCTGCAACCCTTCAGAAAGGAAACTAGGCCAATCCCTCAAGTACTTACATTGAAGTCACACAGCAGAACTGCACACTCAAACAGGGCAACAATATTCTGCATGGCTCTTTCTGTACCCTTCTCAGAATGAAGCCAAATCCACAGGTGTTGGAGGAAGAAGGGGTATCTCAGAAATATTTCAGTGGACACTTTCTACAACAGCATGTTTTTTGCTGCAGTGCCCTCACATTCCAAACTGAATTGGAATGGGGAGGGAGACACAAGCCCCCAGGTAAACACCACAACAACCCATTCTGGGTTACTTTTAGTCATCACCCTGTGGCCCCTCTCCAGGAGCTTCTTGGCCCCCCCCTCCTTTGCGCTTTCATTCAAGATGGGAAACAGGTAGGGTCTTCCTGAAACAGACCATGAAGAAGAAGCTGCACAATTTCCCTCATGCTTTTGTAGAAGGCCTGCAAGAAAACGCAGGTGCCGTTGTTGAGCTTGCTGGATTTGCTCTCAGATAAAGTATTTATATCCAGAGGCGGTCCTGTGATGACTGCCTTTCCCAGAATCTGCCCTTCCTGACCCATTTTGTGTTGTGTTATAGCATGGACTTGGGTGGAATTAGCCATGGATGGCCCAAAGGGTGACATTCACTGGGAGAGGGATGAGAGAATGCATCCCTTTGGTTTCTCCTGGATTTTTCACAGACATTGGCACTAGCCCTTTAATAAGGATTAAGGAAAAGGGACTGAAGGAGCCTCCTCTGCATTCCTGCTGAGGAACTTAAGGACTGATCTGTCCATCAAGATTGTGGCTTGGCTCCTCGAGGCTGACCACAGCATGGAGAGTCAAACGAAGGAAGCAGGTCTCCACATCCCTCTGGGAGACTGGCTGCACTTTGCTGTGGAAATGAAAGGGAAAGCATGAAATTATGGGATAGAAGGGAGGGAGCTTCAAAAGGGCTAAAGTTTATCCTACAACTGGCAAAAGGTGTTTTTTTTTCAGCCTAGAGCAGTCCAGGGCGGTTTCAGGTCCCAACCCAGCCCCAACAAGACCGTGGAAGAGGAAGCCATGTGGGAAGATGACAGGGGTGATCATGAGTCTGTTTGTGGCTATTTTTTGCAGGGTTTGAGGGAAATGTACGTTAAGTCCCAGCTTGTTGGGACCACTTCCTTCAGCTGCAGGAGCTGCCACCCTTACGGGCTCTCCTTGGGGAGGGGGAGGTGGGCCCTGGCCTGAGGGTTATGTGGTCACCTCTGTTCCCCCTCCACCACTCCCCACTCCCCCAGGTCCCTGCACCCCCTTGCTCTTCTTTTCCACACACTTTCCTACAAACGTAGTGATTTCTTCCCTCAACTCTTCCTCACAACCCCTACCCACGGGCTAATCCTGATGACTGAGGAGAGTCACAAATTCGGCCATGCTATCCCCGGCCCCCCAGCCCAGGAGGTCTACCTCAGATGATACAGAATAAGTAGGGTGGAAGGCAGGAAGTTTCCTGGTGTGTGGTGTGAGTCAAACTGTTCCATCACCTCCTAAAAGAGATCAAGGAGCGAGAGGGAGGGAGAGGTTGAGATTCAGTCCCTCAGGGCTTTCACGGGGAAGACAAGCAACCCCATTCAGATACCCATCCTCTGTGGTCCTCACTTTCCAGCTGGTTGAACAGCTCTGTTTCCATTTAGAGGACTTTGCACAAACCCAGAGAGTTCAAACTCTATCCTTTCCAGGGAGTCTCTAAAGCGACTCAGAACTTCTCCCTAAAGGGCTGCCCAGCTACTTTCTCCTGCTGCAGCTCCTGGCCTTCCATCAGTTTCCCTCCCCTTCTCCAGCTGCCACTTTCCAAAGGGAACTCTCATGCAGCTCCTCCTTCACTGGTGAGCTAGTGGTGTTCAGGTTCACAGGGTCCAAGTCCTCAGATTTTCTGAGGAGCGGGATTACAATTTTTCCTGCAACTCCACCCCCACCCCCATCCATTTCTCTCTTTCCCCAGATCAGGCTGTTCTTGCAAGTTCTAGCCTAGTTCTAATGCAAAATATTTGAGGGTGGTTTGGTCTGGAATGATCAAGAAAGAGCCGTTGGCTTCACAAACGACCTGCTACTATGAATCAGTCCTGCGTTTCTGGGCTGGCTGCCCTGGTGGAGAGTCTGCCGAGAGTAGTGATCATGAGGAGGGCCTGGACTTTCAAATTTAATATGATGGCGCAGTCACTCGGCACAACTGCAGAAACCAACTCTGCCTTGGCATAGGGCATACAGAGGTGTTCCTGTCCCAGGATTTCTGCATCCATGCAGCAGGTGGCCGTGCAATTGGGAAAGTGGAATTGATCTCCCTCATCCAGCTCAACCTGGAGGCAGGAGGAGAATCTGGCTGTTATTCAGGAGTGCTCTCTCTCTTGCTCTTTTTGCTTTTCCTGACAGGCCCCATGGGGCAGATTCCATGGGGAGAACTCTGGAGGAGAGTGGAAGGTGAAGACATAGCATAAAGTTCCCCTCCTGCACACGGAGACTCTTGATCTGAGTCTGGGAGGGGGGGAAGCCTAGGACGGCCGTATCTCCTGCCTCCTCCTCCTCCTGTTGATGCTCATAAACCAGGCAATGACCATGATTGGATCGTTGAGCCTACTGACTGAATCCAAGGAGAAGTCTATTGATGCTGTCAGGGAGCACCTCCTGAGGTGGGAGGACCATCCTAAAAAGGCTGAGGAGAGAAAGAGAGAGAATGTGGACATTAGCAGTCACAGAGAATCCGTCATCACCCCTATGACCTTGTGGGTCTTCCCAGAAGATTTGCACTCCCCAACTGCTGGGGTGACACCAACACCCAAGTGGAGGCCTCCAGTGTCCTGTATCTCCAACCTTTTTCTCATGGTGGATCTTCCTCTTCAAGCAAAGCATCTTCTGCCCGAGACCGCTTGGTCCCTTCTTCTCTCCTGGTTCTTCCCTCACCTTAAAAAGCTTCCCCCCTCTTTTTTTTTTTTAGCTTGGAAAGCTTAGAATAGAAGAGGAGAAGAGGAGAAAGAGGGCTTTGAGTGTCCCCCTGATCTCTCTGGGCAGATACTGTTCAGACTGTGGGGTGACCGTGGAAGAGAGAGAGATTAATTGGTGGCAGCAGGCGAGATCCGAAACGAAAAGCAGAGATTTTAGAGAGCCAGGAGAAGTCTGGGAAAAATCCTAAGTGGTGGACAACCTTTTTCTCATGGTGGATCTTCCTCTTCAAGCAAAGCAGCTTCTGCCCAAGACCGCTTGGTCCCTTCTTCTCTCCAGGTTCTTCCCTCACCTTAAAAAGCTTTCCCCCCCCTCTTTTTTTAGCTTGGAAAGCCTAGAATAGAAGAGGAGAGGAGAAAGAGGGCTTTGAGTGTCCCCCTGATCTCTCTGGGCAGATACTGTTCAGACTGTGGGGTGACCGTGGAAGAGAGAGAGATTAATTGGTGGCAGCAGGCGAGATCCGAAAAATCCAGCAGAGATTTTAGAGAGCCAGGAGAAGTCTGGGAAAAATCCTAAGTGGTGGATTGAGAGACCTGGTAGTAGAGGAGTGGGATCTGAAAATCCAGTGAAGATTTTGGAGCTCCAGAAAAGGTCTCAGGAAAATCTTGTGTGATAGCATTTAAAGACCTGGTGGCTGCAAATTCCAACTGCATGAAGGAGTTTAGAATTGTGTGAAAAGTGTCTGTCGCCCTGTCACCTAACACAATTCTCTGAGGTAAAGGTTTGGAGTAAACTGGTAGAAGGATTGTTGGAAAGCTGGGAGAGACTAAATAATTGAAGCAATAATCTCCTGAGGCAAACGTTTTGGGTAAAGTAAGGAGACACTGATAAAACTTAGTCCATCAGAGCAATTATCTGAGGTAAAGTAGTAGGAGAATTGCTAGAAAGCTGGTGAGATTAAACAACTGGTGTAGTGATCTTCTGAGGCAAAAGCTTTGGGTAAAGTAAGGAGTGACTGTTAAAACTTAGCCTGGACACAGAAATAAGTGTCAGGAAGAGTTTAAACGCATTAATTGTAAGGAACAAAAAAAGTCAGAAATGGAAATCCAGATTTCTGAAGCAGACCAAGCTGGTGTTGAGAATTATTTTCTATCTGGGAGAGGGAGGTTGTATTTTAGTAGTACAGTGGTGCCTCGCTTAACGATTACCTCATTAAACGATGAAGTTTTTGCAATTGCTATTGCGATCACAAAACGATGTTCCTATGGGGAAAAATTGCTTAACGATGATTGGTTCCCTGCTTTGGGAACCGATTTTTCGCTAGATGACGATTTTAAAACAGCTGATCGGCCGCTCTAAAATGGCCGCCCGCTGTGCAAAATGGCTCCCCGCTGTGCTTTAGGATGGATTCCTCGCTTTACAAGCACCAGAAAATGACCGCCCTATGGAGGATCTTCGCAAAACGAGCAGGTATTTCGCCCATTGGAACGCATTGAACCAGTTTTCAATGCATTTCAATGGGTTTTTAAATTTCGCTTGATGAGGATTTTGCTTAACAGCGATTTTAATGGAACGAATTATCCTCATCAAGTGAGGCACCACTGTACTGTAAGCTGTAACTCAATATAAACTTAAGTTGAACTCTGTTTATTTTACTGGTTGTTATATTGTAATAAAGATAATGTCATATGTTTCATTCTACAACTGCTTGGGGCTTTTATATTTACGGCTGAACATAACATAAAACATGGGGTGAACATAGAAGAGAGATTTTGTCACCCAGGTTAGAGATCCAGAACTGCCCACAAGAAGCGTGAAGGAGTTTATGTTTACTTTTTATTTAATTTAAAATATTTTTACCCCACCTTTCTCTTAGAAAGGACCCAAGGCAGCTTACGTAATTAAAATACAGTGGTGCCTCGACTTACAACCACAATACGTTCCAGAAGATGGATGTAACTTGAAATGGTCGTAAATCAAAACACCATTTCCCATAGGAATGCATTGGAACAGAATTAATCCGTTCCAGCAGAAAAAAATCACAAAAAACAAACCCACAGTCAGCCCCATCGCAATGTGAGGGGCTGAAAAATAAAGCAAAAAAAGCACACACACACACACAGAGTCAGCCCCATTGCAAAGCGAGAGGCTGAAAAACAAAGCAAAACACCCACACCCACACCCACAGTCAGCCCCATCGGAAAACACAAAAGCACCCCCCCCACAGCACAGAAACATAACCCCCCAAACCCATGCTGCAAAACAAAGTAAATGTACTTACTCATGAGCAGAAAGCAGCACCAGGCAGTCCCAAGCCTCCTCCAACCCACACTCTCCAAGAATTGGGGTGAAAGAGCTACAAAGAAGCGCTTCCCCAACCAATGGTTAGCCCTCTAATTTGAATTCCATGCCTTTTTTCCCTGCCTCTTTTTATCCCAACTCAAAGCTCCAGCTGCAAGGCGAAGAAAAATTTTACTGCCAGAGCTGGTTGCAACTCGAAGTGATCGTATGTCGGGATAGTCGTAAGTCGAGGCACCAGTGTACTATATTAAAATACTGTAGTAAATATACACATGCTAAAAGGGTCAAACCAATACCATATTAACATTTGATAAAAATTGGTGTAAACCACCCCGAGTGGCCTTGGCTGCCAGATGGGTGGTATATAAATCAAATAAATAAATAAAATGAATAAAAACAGTAAACAAAAGCAACGCAATGGCCACATTTAAAGCAGTGAGGCACAACATTTAAGAACCCCACTCAGGCAGCCAGTCACTGAGGGAAAGCCTGCCTGCAGAGAAAAGAAATTTGCCTGCTTGTGGAAGGACAGCAAAGATGGGCCCAGGCTGGCCTCCTGTGGGAGGGAGTTCCAGAGTCTGGGAGCAGCAACAGAGAAGGCCCTCTCCTGTGTCCCCCACCAAATGTGGAGGTGGAGGGGCCAAGGGAAAGGTTTCTCCTGATGATATCAAAAAGCACTTAAAGGGAGTGACAGTCATTGAAATAGCTTGGACTAAAGCCATTTACGGCTTCATAGGTTAAAACCAGCACTTTGAATTACTGTACGCCTGGAAACAGATCAGCAGCCAGTGAAGCTGCTATAATAGAGAAGCTATGTGATCCCTGTAACCAGCACCAGTCTACCATTTGGCTGATGCATTTTGGACCCAATGAAGTTTCTAGACACTACCCAGAGGCAGACAGCCCTACACAGAGCATATTACAGTAACCCTGCTGGGATGTAACTAAGCCATGCATCATTGTGGCCAGATCAGACCTCTCCATCAATGGCCACAGCTGGTGCCCTAGTTTTAACTGTGCAAAGGCACTCCTGGCCACTGCTAAAATCTGGGCATCCAGGCTCAGAAACAAATCCAGGAGCACCCCCAAACTCCACACCTGTGTTTCTAGAAGGAACACAACACCATCCAGCACAGGCTGCATCCTTATTCTCTGATCTGCCTTACTATTGATGAGGAACACCTCTGTCTTGTCTGGATTCCGTTTCAGTTTGTTCATCCTCATCGAGTCCATTACTGACAGCAGACACTGACCTTGAGTCAAAACAGCTTCCTCAGTTCCCCCACCCAAACTGAGAGGGGATAGCAGGGCAACCTGTATTTCTCTGGCATCCTGTCTACTTCAGTCAGTGTTGGGCAAGGCCAGAGAAGGGATAGGCATCAAATTCAGACAAAGCTCATCGTCATAAGTTGAAGGCCAGATGAATCCATCTTCTAGTTTTATGACAAGCCTTAGGAAACCTTGAGGTTCTTTTGCTCTCTGCCACATACTGTTATCATGCAAGGTTGCAAATTACCGCCCACCACTAGCCAAGGGTTAGCATTCCCTTTAGAAACAAAACAATACACCCACTCCTTCTCTCAGTATTATAGAGCAGCCATTATCAACTCTCCACAGTTGCATCTATTCCTGAAATCTCCTACTCACATTTTCACTCCTGCTCCAACACTGTAGCAAGTGAAATGAAGGACTTCAGGCCACCTCACACAGGGCCACTTGAGAGGTCAGTCAGAATGAAGGAGGTGTCACAATGCCCAGAGCAAACTGGTAGCCAGGTCCCTGTTGCTGCTGAGGGGTGCTACTTGGCACATATGTGCATCCTTTGATAGCTTTCAAGTGCTTCTGCTTCAGGCTTGAATGATGGATAGTTTTCAATAAGAAAATGTCACCTCTAATTGTGAACCAAGGGGCTAAGGTTTCCTCTATTGAGAAATAAAATGTCAGAGAATGGAAGTATTTTTCCTCAGTTGCATGCTTTGCAGTTGCTCACACCTAAGGATCCCACAAGTGCCCAAACTGTATTGGGTATAAATTACTCATCCCAAAATCTCGACATTAATTTAAAAAGAAAACCAAGTTTCTAGCCCATATGGATAGGAAAGCACTGACAGACGTACATTGTTGGGGCTGTGATGCTCAAACTGTTGTAGACAGCCCTTTACAACTAGCAACGAGTCCTGGGTAACCACTGCCATCTCCTGTGGGGTTGTTCCATGATGGAGCACCACATTTTTTAAAGGTCAGTTCCAGCGTTGCACTGGGATTAGGGTCCCTGGAGCATAGCTTCATTAGTTTCCTAGGAGATCTACTGACGTATACAGGCTTTGGAGTGGGTGAGCCATTACTGGTTTCCAGCCTTTCAGGGGCAAGTGTAATTTTCATCACTCTTGGAAATTGAACATTTGGGGGGTTCGTCTGCCATTTGGAGATTGCTCAAGACTAACATCCCTGATCATGCAATGATGGAATAAAGCCAGTTGGAGTGGACGCCATCATTCTCAAAGTCCCTTCCCACTGAGAATCAACTGAACTTTCCTTGCACCCATCATACTCGTTCTGCATCCCGGCATCCACACAACACAGAGGTCAATAGAATCAAAGCAGGTCAAAACTCTTGCTTTCTGGACGCTTTTGTTCTGCTTTGCTCTGGTTTTCTCAGCATGGGATCTGCTCATGTGGGCCCATGTGGGTTCCATGCACTTGGTAGGTGGGCGTCATTAGATGAAGTTTCCTTATGGCATTGGTGGCATTCTCCTGAAACATATTCACACTGTCTATATCCCTTGGATAGGTAAAACGAGGGAGGAGTAACATTTGTGGGAAAGGTCCGAGAAGAGAGGTAAGGGGGGGCACTTTAACAGACAAAGTGGCTCAGATGGGTTCCTTGTCTCATTTGAGATTCAGGTAGAAAGAAGAGGAACAACAACAACAACAACAAAATGGTGGCTCCAACTGACTTCTAGTAGGATGTGGAAATCAAATTTGTGAAAACATTGTCCCCAGTGTCCTTGGACATACTGTAGTTCCTAAATCAGCCCCTCTATCCATCTTCCAGATTACCCAAGGCTGTAGCCCATCTGCTTAACTCTAAAGTTAACCTTGAACTCTGACCCTGGCCCTAACTCCAACCCTAATCCAAACCTTGACCCCAAATCCAAGCTCAACCCACAGTTATTTTGGAAGCACAACCCTATGTCTGGATGCCAAAAGACAAAACATTACAACGTCACACCTAAGGGAACTATGCATTTCTTAGAACAATTCTTGCAATTATTCAAGATTTCAACATGTGATAGCTGCTGGGTTGTTACAGGAAGTTTTTCAAGAGGAAACCTCAGGTGGGGTTCTCTTTACAGCCAATCCATTTGTCCTGTTGTGCTCAGCTCAGTTTTGGAGTAATATAATTGCAGCACATATTTTGCACAAATTGCACCCACTCCTTGGGGGGGGGGGAAGTGTTTGTCTTCTTCTTGCATTGACGGCGAGAACTACATGGAGGGCTGCTCTTCTGGCCACTCAGATATGGCTTTTGCCTGATATGCTTGCACAGACTTAACTCGGCGACCTCTTCCAAAACCAGAACGCCCAAGGCTCCGATGAAGCACCTCACAAATGGCAGCACTCTTGGTTAAAATTCGTCGTCTGAGAAGAAAGCGTGGTCTTTGCTGCTTCCAACCTTCCCGCCTTATGCTATTAATCCTATTTGGCTGTTATCTAGTAGTGCATCCTTTATTGGAAATAAAACCGTGGGGTTTACTTCCGAGTAAGCACGTCGACGACTCCGCCAGGTGGAACAGAGACCAGCGTCACCAAGAAACAAGGGGGCATAAAAGGGGCGGGGCCGCGACTCCACTCTTCTTTCTCTGCCACTGTGGCGGCACCTACGGCCGCCTCCCCCGCCCGCGCTTTCCCTTTGGCGCTTGCGCAGAAGGCCTCGTCTCGATTCTCCGCCCCGCCCCCCCCCGCACTCCTCGGGAGCGGAAGTTGACGTCGAGAGCAGGAGCGCGGCGGCTCGCTTCCATCTCGCTCGCGCCGCAGCGGCTTAGCTCGAGCTCCACAAAATGGCGAAGATCGCCAAGACTCACGAAGGTAAGGGAAGGAAGGGGCCTTGAAGCCCCGCTTCGCGTCTAGGATTCACAGCTAGTTTTGTCTTCGCGGCGTCCGCCTCCGTGTCGTCGTCGCCGGGAAAAGCGGAAAGGATGGAAAGGCTAGCCTGGAGGCGAGCGAGCGGGCGGGCTGCGCCTCAGGCGGGCCTAGGCCTGCGCGTAATGGCGTCGTAATGGGGATCTTCCCCTCCCTCGCTCCCGCGTCGCTCCGTTCTCGGCTCCCTTTCTCCCTCATGTTGTGCGGCCTCGTGGCCCGAGAAGATCCCGCGAGGGGGGGGGAAGGACGTGAGATGCCACCGGTGAGAAGAGGCGGACGTGAGCCTTTTCCCCCCGGATCCTTAGGGATGCTTCCCTCTCGGGATTCCCCGGCCATAAACACAAAACCGAAGCAGGAAAGGGCATAAAAAGATTTGGGTCGTGGAGCAGAGAGCCTGTGTGTTTTGTGCGTACACACGCAGGCGGCGCGGATGTCTCTGTTAACGTTTGACCTCCTTTGGCGGCAGCCATTGTGTGGCCCTGGGAGGGAAAGCGGGGAAGGAGCTCGTTCCTCCTGGTCAAGAAAAAAAATAGGGCCTGAGCACGTCAGCGGCAGGCCTTTCAGAGAAATAGGCCCGAGATTGTCGAACCGGGGGACAGATAAGCTGAGGAGGTTGTGCTTTGAGCTGCTTTCCGGCCAGCTTTGTTTAGGTGTTGGTTTTTGTTCCCACAATATGCTTGAGGAAATGCTCCGTCCGCTTCCTTCTGGGAAGGGAGGTGGGTGTTACTACTCCAAACAGGCGTGCTTTCATTTGGATGTAATGGACTAGTGCCTGTAGAGAAAGGCATCTTCCTGATTAAACTCCTTTGTTTTCATTAGACCTCCGCAAGTAGTTTTCTAGATTAAACAGGGTTTCATACTTGTGTTTTCAATAATTGACTGCAAAAACGAGTGGACGTGGACTGCAGTTGCTGTAACAGAACATGCTTATTTGCCTATTTTAAACAATAAATTGTAAAAAAAAAATGCTTTTAAAGACAAGCAAAACATTGAGGTTCTTGTTTTCAGGCACATATGGTAGTTGCTACATAGCCATCCACACAAGTCTGTGGAGCAGCACCGGACATTATCAGCTATTTTCTTTCCACAAAAGGAGAGCTGTGAAGTTTTTCGGTGCTTCCCACCACCTCATATTTTCCACCATAGGCATATTTGTAATTTCCTTTCTTGGCTCTAGGCTTTAATGCAGAGGCCTTTTCTCTGAGCAGATGGCTTTGTAAGATTAGCATTTCATCCCAAATCTACTTGCTGAAAATTATGCCAGGTTAACTTCAGTGGAAATTCTTAGGAGTGAAGCTGTCCCTTGGGGCTTTTTGATTTCTTATGTTTCTCAACTATGTAGTCATTGCAAGTCATGCACTGCCAATTCAAGCATAATTAAACTATTATATATTTGCAATAAGGTGTAATGATAATGTGTCTATTGTGCAATAAGTCTAATGAAAATTAGGTAGATTATTAGTAAATGCAGACATTGGAATTGTACTAGAGCGGATTTTTGTTTCCTCCTGAGTGTTGTTCAACATTAAGAGTTCTTAGTAATGTGGGGTGGGCCCAGTTCTATTGTGTTATTAGTTACAATGGAGACTGCTCTGTTTAAGAAATTTACTTTTTAAAGGAAAATTGTGGGTCTAGACAATGTTAATTAACCTTAGAACTAGGACAACATGTAGCATAATACGTATATTCTAATAAATTGGGGGGGGGTGTTCTATGACATGTTATATATTTTTTCTGCAACCTATGTTTCAGTTTATTGCTGGGCTTGAACATGTGTATGAGTAATCTTGCAAGAAAGGCCAGATTACTCATAAACATGTTTGAACTTGCTTATGGGTTAAAATACAGGTTGTAGAGAAAATTAAAATGTCATAAAAATCCCCCTACTGACAAATATTCATTACTTTTAGCAGTCTGTTTAATTTTAAAATGGGATTCAATGCATGCACTCTAAAATATGTACTGTATATTAAAATTTTGAATACTTTAGAACAGCCATTCTCAGCCTGTTTTTGGCCACAGCCATAAACACAATATAAAAGAAATATAGGCGAAATCAGGTAAATTGCATAATGAACCTTATAAGGTGGTGTGTGAAGAATTGTTTCCAGACTGTGGACCCCTTCAAATGTGCCAGCCAGCCTCTCTCTGCCCCACCTCCTTGCGAATGGCCGCTATAGAACACTTTGTGTTTAAGGATGACCTAATTGTGGCACCAGAGCTTTCAGAATGTTCAACTTATAGAAGGTAAATCGATCTACTTCTGATTTGTGATAGAAAGTTCAACCTTTGAAGTGTAGTACCTTAGCAAAATCACACCTTGACCTTGCATTCTTCAGTGATAGCAAGCTATGGTATACTGTGCAGTTGCCCATGTGTGAATCTTCTTTCTGTGGGAAAGAACTACAAGAGTATATAAAGAGATTTGATGAGACCCAAATGCCAGTAAGAGTTGGAAAAGCTGATGGAACTAGATGAACAGAAATGTGAGCAGCAAAGATATTGTAGTGATAGGAGTTTGTAAGTATTATATATGGTTGGATATTTTGGCAAGAGTAAAGGGAATTAGGCTGCATGTGATACAGCTGCACAAGAACTACAAGTAAATGGGCTAATGGAGTTTTTCAAATCTTGATAAGAAGTTTGGCATCTATAGTCTACATTAGATTTTTAAAGGCTATGTTTTTAATCAGCCTGTTGACCTTTATATGTTGACCTTTAATAATAATAATAGTAAAGTAGCAACAATAGTAGGATTATTAAAACAGCAGGTAGCCATATGAGCAAAAACACAATGAAGGGCTGTTCAGACTTTTGATGGAGAGCCATGATCTTACATATTTCCTAAAATACCTGTAGTAGTGTTGTGGCTTGGCTAGTCTTCTGTTAGCAGAGCATTTGTTCCACAAAGCAGGTGCAACACCTAAAAGGTTTTAAACATTGTTCTTGTTCACCTAGCTTTTTGAGAACATGTAATCTGAAGTATGGCACAAGCAATGCTCTAAACTGCGCTGGTGCATGCTGCTCCATCAGATGCGCACAGCTGTGCAAGTATATCTGACTGTTTGCAGCTGGAACTCTGTACGCAGAGGGTGGAGCCTCCACACAGAATTCCAGAGAATTAGAGGGAATCTTGGCTACAAGGTAAATGATCATACTGCATAAGAAAGAAAGAGGTCCTGAAGATACCCAGTTCTTAAGCCGCTTAGTGCTTTAAAGGCTAAGACAATTATTTTGAATTGAGCCCAGAAGCAAAGTGGTAGCTAGTACATTGCAGCTGATAGGTGTAATGTGATTCAAATGCCTTGTTCCCACTAATGTATCTAACTGCTGCCTGTTTGGTGTTTTTAAAAAACTCAATACATTCAGTGCCTTTGGAGGTTATTTTATATCTCCATGTGTGTGGGGGGCATGGCAGGTTTGCCAGGTCCATACTCTATGGTAGCAGTCCCCAACATTTTTGGGACTGTGGATTGGTTGGGAGGTGCAGGCTTCATGTGCAGAGGGCATGTCACATGAGCACTACATGCCCCTCTGCAAGTGTGACACGCCCACCATGCGTACAGGAGGGGTGGAGGTCTGTGTTTTATATCTCCCAGTTTTATAGCGGCCCAGTTCCAGGAAGCCCATGGTCTGCCACTGGGCTGTGGACCGGGGGTTCGAGACCCCTGCTCTATGTGGCTGACAGTTGAAGATACAAAAAAACAAAACAAAACCCAGAGGACGCAACAGATGGAAGAAGGAATGAACTGAACAATATGTACCTATTTCAGTGATATGTAGGTTGGCTTAGTTGCATTTTGTTTTAAAAATGCTATGTGGATACAGTCTGATTTTCAGTATTATAATGAGGAAATGTGCAGCACATATTTGTACACATTTCATTTATCCATTGTTATAGATGTATTTATATCCATATGTAGGAGGCAAAATTTGTCACTTCTGAACTATGCTCAGCGAGTCCAGAGGGTTATGTACTCCAGCATTCTATCCCCACAGTTCCGCTGCCTGTGGGAAGCCCACTAGTAGGAGATGAGTGAAATAATAGTTTCCCAGTATGTTACGTCTGGTTCTGTTCCGTTTGTCAGGTGTACTGCAGATACTGCTCTTTGTGCCAGCTGATAAGGAAGGTCATGATACTGTATGTATACTCTGCTGAAGCAAGTTCCATTCACTCACCACATTTCTTGTATTCTGACAGAAAAGATAATTTTGATCTCAACTGTTTCAGTAAGTGTCGACTTCTTTCACTGTGTTGTCAGCCCAGAGTCTATGTTGACTATGCTATGTTGTCAACATAGAATTTTGACCACATAGAACCTTGAAGTTTCATGCAGTGAAGAGTCTTTTGGGCTTGTGTTTCTCTGACAGTGACTCTTAAAACAGTGCAGTACTCTTGATAGTTTTATAACTGTTTTAAAAAAATATGTTATAGATTCTCTTTCATGCAATCCAGAGAACTGTTCTGTGCACAAACAGCTCTCAGATTTAAAGAAATATGCCAAAATATTTTTTAATTGTTTGTAAAATAAAATTTTAAGCAACTGATCCACTTATGATTGTAGAGGAGGCTTTCAAAATACCTCTTCATTTCAAAAAGAGTTTACAATCTGATACAGAGGGATCACTTTTAGGAAATGCAAGTCAGAAGCCTGTAGGACTTGGGGACAGAGTATGTGAGGAAACTGAGTGTGGTTTAAAATTAAAATAAAGTTAGATAA